AACGCTGTCAGAGGAAAGTGAACAAGCTATAGACTCTGCCTCTGTGGTTTTGAAGACGTCGGTGTGTTCCTTTTTCAGTGTAGCTGTCCTTTGGTGGATTGTTTGTTGTTTTTTTTTGGTGCTTTTTGTTATGGTGTAAGGCGAATCCCGTATTTTGTGATTTGAAGGGCTGGACAGTAATACACTAATGCAATATAGATCAAAAGAGGAGTTAATCAAGGCAGACCTTATCTAAAGCAATATAGATCTAGAAGCCTGGTGTGAATGTGAAAGGCAAGACAGCAATGCTGAAGTAAAAAGTAGGAGCAGTGACGTCAAGGCATTGACCCCGAGCAAAGCCGGGTACTCAGCTAGTTGAAAACATTTTACTACTCCCACGTCAACACTGAAATCCTTTCGGGGGCGGGCTCCTGTCACCCTACCACATTCCCTTGGGTGGTTGGTGGGCGCTTTGGTGTGGTTTGCTCTTTCTTTCCTGTCAAACAACAATGTTGTTCTCATCTCTCTTCTATTTAAAAAAAAAACTTTGTATGTTACTCTATTGTAACACCTTGAAACCTCGTAACTTATACATGTATAGAAAAAATGTTGAAAGTGATCGTTTGTACAGTTGATTGTCTTGGACGAGTACCTCCCCCCGAGCAGGTTTCACTGTAATTTACTACCCCGTCCACACGTAAAACTCGTGACAAGCCCCAGGCTTAAATCTAACCTCTGCTTTGTCTCAGCAAATTTAGTGTAACGTTTTGATAGGTAAACTTATAAATTCTTTTGCATAAAAATGCAGGTTTCAAGTTGCAAGCCTGACTTTCAGCAAAAACTTAAAGGGGGAAAAAAATGAAGATATGGTATATGAAGGTACAGTTTTATTACAGGCAAGCAGTTGTTTTCTTATTAATGAAGAAAACAAGAACAAACAACAATGCAGACGTGCCTACTTCTGAGGGTTATCAATACTTCTCATGTTGCCAGCCCGCTCGATGTTTTGTCGGTAGGTTCACCTCATTGAATACGATGTACACCTCCCGTAGCACAGTTTAGGTTCTTGTAGAAGACCAGCTGCACCTGGGAGAACAATGTTTTACGCCCCCGTCAATTCCATTTAAATCTTAGTAGGTGGGCTGCTTCGACCCTGCCCGATCTGTTCGTCTCCCGTTGCTTCCTCACGCGGTGTGGTGTCCTTAAGGTCATTGGATCGTAATGAATGTACATATTATGATGTCTGCCCCCCCCCCAAAAAAAAAAAACAACCAAAAAAAAAAAAAAAGATAAAAAATCGCACACTCGCCCACGCACTCTTTAGGTCACGAGGGAAGGCTGCTCCGACCTTATTATTACGTGTCAAGGCCAGTTCAGGCTGAATGAGAGATGATATAACATCCCAGCAGACTGTGAAAGTATTCAGTCAAATAACTTCTCTACAAGGGAATTGAACTCACGTCTTACATTGCAAGGAGGGCCGAAACGGTCCACCAGAGATGCTGACAAGTTCTCGTGGCGATAGTCAATCGCGAATTCAAGGTGAAAAGTGAACTGACTAAACAATTTAGTATAGTCACCATTCAACGAGTGGATAATAAATATATCAGTGCTTCAGTCTATACAAGCGTCTGAGGGGTGGTTTTGTTGTTGTTGTTGTTGTTGTTGTTTGTTTTTTTTTGTTTTTTTTTGTTTTGTTTGTTTGTTTGTTTGTTTGTTGTTGTTGTTTGTTGTTGTTGTTTGTTTTTTTGGGGGGGGGGATCGGGAG